ATTAAATGCTAATGTATTCTTAACTAACTCGAATTTCCCCTTATATGTTACTAAATTGCATATGTATTTATACATGCGTTTATTGTTTACATATTTCTATCTGATCGCTATTCTATACTATTTCAGAAATTCCCACCTTTAAATTCTCCCACACTAGTTTCCCACTGTTCCCTCACAACAACACTAATTATATAACGTGACACATCGCATTACCGTAATTCTCTTTTTTGCCAACAAAATTCCTCCACGCCTATCTTATGCACACTGTGCATAAGACCAATTCTAATCTTCCTATTCGCATTACTGGTTGGTGGCAGTATAATAGACAGCGAAATCTCATCTGTGTTATGTGACATATAGGAATTTCTGATTTCCTTGATCTTTCTCTCCGATATGTTCTCATGGCCACACGTGTGGTTCTTTTTATAATCGGTTTTCCCACACCTTAGCAATCTTGTACTTGGATCACTGATTATTTTTTTTGTTTGTATCTTTATTATTCATTAAGAGCTCCCTCACTTGATCGACTTAATTGAATTTCGTATTAACCAAGTGTAAAGGAAAAAACAAGGAACAAGTGAGAAATTAATAAAGACTCAGTCAAATACAAACATGCCTAAAATCACCCTTTCATTTATTTACCCAGTAACGGTTACGCGAATTTCTGCTAAAGTTAGCGACTGACTTGCCGTTATACTGTTACATTTTTGATGATAACTGTGAGATTCGTATAAGAACGACGTCCAGTTACCCCCCCCCAATATTTTCTCGCAAACACTTTTTTGACACTTTTTCGACCCCTATATCACAAAAAACAAACCATTCATTATTAAAACCCCTTTACTACTCAAATTTCTAATTTCTACTTTCCTTTTATTTACAGACACCTACGCGACAGTTGGAGAAAAACGACCCAACCTAACGAAGGCGCAACAAGAACCGATGACACTACCCAGTAATGACGCATGGAAGACAATAGAAGAACATACCGACGACAAAACGACCACCAAACAAGAAGAGATGAACGATGACCTTGAAAAAATGACGAATGAATGAAGACCTCGAAGAAACGACGATCGGCTACCCAAGTGAGATCCTGGAAGAATGCCCTGATGAAAATAAAGCCCAAGCAACCGAAGACGATCAAAGGGACGATGTCATGAAATCCACTTATGACGGAGCCCAGATGACGAGTTAGTGCGAGACGTAGAGAAGAAGCATCATCAAGAGAAGACGACGGACTGACCGGAAGACAGAACGGGAAGGATTGTGAAAAGAATTATATAATTTAGCTTTAGCCATGTCGCTGTATCATTAATTATTATTATGTCTAAGCCGC